AATTTAATCAAGTACTGATCAGTAGTTTTTGAGTTATTCTTAATAATGCGTATTTAATTGACTTTGACTACATTGATGATGTTTTCATTTTATTTATTTTGAATTCGGTTGTTTTGTTAACTACTTTTTATCGGGAAAACGCTACAGCTCATCTCCTAGTGTGTTTATCTCTGTCTCACAACACCCACGGGACGTAACTGTAGTAGTAGGTGGTGATAATGTTTAAGTGGATTCTTACACCGATACTCCATTGCTTATGTATCATAAATATAGGCAATTAACTATAAAAGTGCAACAGAACTAACATTTCTTAATTTAATCTGTATTGCATATGTACAGTGTGCAATTGGTGGACTTAATGCCTTTTGGCGTTCTCTACCTTTCTACTACAAGCTATGCAGGGATATTTAAGCAGGTGCCACAAAACAAGAAAATATTTATAATTAAATACAAATATAAAAACATACATATTATGTAACATATACATTGTGTGGTTTGGAGAGAGAGAGAGAATTTAACTAGCGAAGCTTGTGGTCTTCGATCCTGGACTGTAAAAGGATGCTGGTTGAGAGAAAGGGGGTTCGTTAAATAAATTGCACGCCTACCTTGTCACCGCCGCCTTCGTACATCTTCCACGCTCCGGAGGCAGGTTTCACCAAAGTACAGACGACCTAACGCTTCTTTATTTTTATAGGAGAGTGGGCAAACGAGCATGCGGCTCACCTGATGGTAAGTGACTACCGCCGCCCATGTACAACCGTAACACCAGGGGAATTGCAGATGCCTTGCCGGCATTTTAGAAAGGAGTAGGTTCTTTTCTTGAAGGTCGTATCGGTCTGGAAAAATCGCTGATGGTAATCGATTCCACAAAGAAGTTGTGCAAGAAGAAAACATCTTCTAAATCACACAGTGGTGGACCGCCAATCATCCAGATGGTGTGGATGGTATCGGGAGTTCGTGAAATTTGGCGGCTGGGATTAATCCGAACAATTCTTCAGAGCACTCCCCGTGGTAAATGCGAAAGAAAATGCTAAGAGATGCAACATCTCTTCGCAGTGCCAATGAGTCGAGCCGATCGGAAAGGACTCGGTCGTCGACGATTCGAGCCGCTCTGCGCTGGATGCGGTCAAGTAGAAGGAGCTGGCACTGGGGAGCCTCTGCCCAGAGATGGGAATAGTATTCCATATGAGGCCGAACCTACGCCTTGTAAAGTTGCAGGCGGTGTGCCGGCATGAAATACTGTCCAGCTCTGCTGAGCACGCCAAGCTTTTTAGAGGCCAATTTAACCTTCTCTTCCAAGTGACCACGAAACTTCACGTCACTCGATATGTCGACACCGAGGATTCCGATAATGGCTGAGGCAAGAAGGGGCGTACCTTGAAATTGAGAAGATACGACAAAGGGGTCCTTTTTAGCGGTAAACGCGCAAAATTGTGTTTTCTGAGGATTAAACTGGACTAGATTTAGTCGCCTCCAATCCGAGACTTTATTCAGCAAAAACTCGACTTCAGACACAAGATTGTTCCGGTACTCGGCGACGTTTTACCGAGAAATATTGGCACGGCCGGTGTATAGAGCATCATCAGTGTTGTCATCCGCATAGCAATGAATTGATATGCAGAATCATTGATATGCAGAAGAAACAGCGTTGGTGATAGCACAAAGCCTTGTGGAACACCAGCGTTGTAGGCTTGTAGTCGGAGCATGCACCGTCTATTACGACCTTGATGCTCTGATCTGCAAGGAAGCTGGTAATCCAATTGCACAATTTCTCGGGAAGCCCAAAGGAAGGGTCCTTCTTTGAATCCTACCCATGGGGGCGGGTTTGCTTCTCGCCGGATGATCCCAGCGCTGTTACTGACTCTGTCACTGATGTGGTGCTACAGAAAATGGAACTATTTATTTCATCATCTGTGGTACCCATCGGAGACAGATCTCAGCCTTGGTTTGGTCGCTCCTGTAAGACTGCATTACGCAGTAAGCAGGATTGTTATCGAGCCTGGGCTGCGGCTTTGGCGACTCGGAATGTAAACACCAGCATGCTTAAAAAGAAGTATAACTTTGCCTCCAGGTCCTTCAAAAGAGTTATTGCCAAGGCATAGTCAGAGCACATAGGCAGAATTGGCGAGAAACTAGTTCACCTTCCTTCGGGAACCCGTGCGTTCTGGTCTCTCGTCAAGGCTCTCCAAGAAAATTTCTGTAACTACCAACGTCACTACCATCTCTGCACTGGGAGGACGACTCACTGGCCCACGCCGCAAAAGAGAAAGCCTACTTTTTAGGCTCCCTTTTTGCGTCCAACTCGACTCTTGATGACGGGGGAAAACACCTCCAAACATCCCGCGGTGTGAGTGTTCCATGCTGGATGTGCGATTCTCACAACGCTCGGTTCGCAAAGCACTCCTCTCCCTGGACATCCACAAGTCAAGTGGGCCTGACGGAATCCCCCCAATTGTGTTGAGGACGTGTGCTACGGAGTTGGCAACGGTCCTAACGCGTCTTTTCTGGTACTCCTACTCCCTAGGCGTAGTCCCGAAATCATGGAAAACAGCTTTTGTCCACCCGATCCCTAAAAAAGGCGACCACTCAGACCCGTCCTCCACTTCTTTGTTCTCCAAAATAATGGAATTCATTATTAACTGCCAGCTCATGTGGTACCTTGAGGATCACCAGCTGATTAGTGACCGCCAATACGGTTTTCGTCGGGGTCGATCAGCTGGTGATCTTTTGGTCTAACTGACTCATAGATGGGCGGAGGCAGTAGAGTTCAAGGGCCTCCCCCTTGGCCGTTAGTTTGGACATTGCGAAGGCCTTTGATCGGGTTTGACACAAAGCGCTTCTTTCGATGCTCCGTTCCTATGGGCTTCCCGAGAAATTGTGCAATTGGATTACCAGCTTCCTTGCAGATCAGAGCATCAAGGTCGTAATAGACGGTGCATGCTCCGACTACAAGCCTACAACGCTGGTGTTCCACAAGGCTTTGTGCTATCACCAACGCTGTTTCTTCTGCATATCAATGATATGTTGCTAACTGGTAACATTCATTGCAATGCGGATGACAACACTGGTGATGCTCTATACACCGACCGTGCCAATATTTCTTGGTAAAACTTCGCCGAGTACCGGAACAATCCAGTTTGATCCTCAGAAGATACAATGTTGCACGTTTACCGCTAAAAAATATCCCTTTGCCGTATCTCCTCAGTTTAAAGGCACGCCCCTTCTTGCCTCAGCCAGTATCGGAATTCTAGGTGTCGATATATCGAGTGACGTGCAGTTTCGTGGTCACTTGGAAGAGAAGGCCAAATTAGCCTCTAAAAGGCTTGGCGTGCTCAGCAGAGCGGGACAGTATTTCATGCCGGCACACCACCTGCAACTTTACGAGGCGCAGGTTCGGCCTCACATGGAATACTGTTCCCATCTCTGGGCAGGGGCTCCCCAGTGCCAGCTCCTTCCTCTTGACCGCATCCAGCGCAGAGCGGCTCACATCGTCGACGACCGAGTCCTTTCCGGCTCGATTCATTGGCACTGCGAAGAGATGTTGCATCCCTTTTCATTTTCTTTCGCATTTACCACGGGGAGTGCTCTGAGGAATTGTTCCGATTGATCCCAGCCGCCAAATTTCACGAAAACACATCGCAGCAGAACTCTCGATACCATCCACACCATCTAGATAATTGGCTGTCCCCCAATGTGCGATTTAGATGTTTTCTTCCTCGCACAACTTCCTTGTGGAATCGATTACAATCAGCGATTTTTCCGGACCGATATGAGATTCAAGAAAAGAGCCTACTGCTTTTTAAAAGGCCGGCAAGGCATCTGCAATTCCCTTGGTGTTGCGGTTGTACATAGGCGGCGGTAGTCACTTACCATCAGGTGAACCGCATACTTGTTTGTCCCCTCTCCTATAAAAAAATACATACTTGGCGTGCGGGTGAGAAGATACGAACGCTTTAAATATATGAACTTAAAGGAGGGTAATTTAGAAAAAAATGCATTATATAAAATAAACTAGATGGCGCCAACGTACATATTATAATAACACTTATATTTATTACAAATAACCTACATAATAAATACAATAGCTGATAAATAGCACACGCATTTCAAATATTACATAATACACACATTTTAAACATACTTGCATAAACATCTGAAACACATCGGAATAAACATTCTACTTCAATACAATCATCATCGTCATCATAATAGTCCTTCACAAATCCACTGCTGAACATAGACCTCCCCCAATAAATGCCACAAAGCACGGTCCTAAGCCACCTGCATCCATCGAATTCCTGCATGTCTCACCATGTCATCACTCCATCTAGTGGGGGGCCGCCCTAAACTTTGTTTATCGGTACGTGTCGGTTTTTCGAGCTATATGTCCGGCCCATTACCACTTCATCTTAATAATCCGTTGGGCTATGTCGGTTCGGCATCATCATTTATAAGTTTGTCACACAGAGGAACCTCGAGCATAGCTCTCAGCTATTAGCCCGTGAATATCCACTATTGAACACGGGCCTTACACACAGATAAACTTAATAAGTTATTTTTACCAACACAGGATTAAATCCAGGATCTCATAATCCGAATCACGTTTACAATTACTAGACCTACGGGGCATTCAGAAGTTAGTCAAAATTGCTTCTTCTTAAAAACTATTAAATTTTTTAAAAGATACAACTGGACGGATACATTAGCTTTAATCTCTTTCCTTTTTTAGCATTATAGCAACTGTTTCTGCAAACAAAACAGTAAAAGATTGAGATTTTGAAGATATAAAATGAATTTTTCATTGCTTAGAAGAAAATATAAAACTTAAGTTTGAGAAAAATAAAGAATAATTATATGTCTTTACTTTATATTAAGTATAAGGCCAGCGCCACACTTGACGGAACTTCCGCGGGAGTCAATCCGTTACCATACGTTGCAGCCACACTGGATTCAGTGGCAGATTATCAGTTGACTGCCAACGCTTATACGGCGTGGTCGTAATGGATCCGATAGAAGTGATAGCTATTTATGAGGCATTAGAAGAAGATAGAAAAAGAAAGCGTAAATATTGGGTTCATCCTTTAAATACTCTTCGACTAGAAATTGGGCAATTTCATACTTTATATAAGCAACTAAGACATAATCCAGATAAAGCATTCGAATATTATCGAATGTCCATACAATAATTTTATGTATTGTTGAATTTAACGAAGGACTATATTACCAAGCAAAATACAAAACTTAGAACGGCTATATCTCCTGAAGAAAGGCTGACCGTTACATTAAGTTAAGATAAATATTAATAGTGTAAATGAGACAAATTATTTATTATGATTAATCAAATCTTTAATTTTAATCGAATTGAATTACTGGACCTATTCTGCAATATTTCCTCTATTTCCGCAATTGAGTGGACCTATTCTCAAATATTTCTTCTATTTCCTCAATTGAGTGTGCTGTTTCAGTTTCAGCTGATTGAATTGGATGAACTTGAGTTTCAATAGATTCGGGTGACTGTATGGTCGAATAGGAACTTGTACTGTTTGTATTCGTAGTATATGCTTGATACACCGGCGGTGACCCATCTGCTATATATGTTGTAGGTGATTGTTCGTATGTACTATAGCTAGGATGGTTGTAAGAATACGTTTGACTATGTGATATGTTGTATAGGTTACGATATTTGATTTTATAAATCAAATTCATCACTTCGATTCTAAACTCACAATTTTGTCTTTCATTCAGGCTCTTGGATTTGAGGAAGTAAGGAAAGTAAAAATTGCGTGTCGGCATCTTTAACTTCTTTAGGTGATTTTCGCTTTTTATTCATTGCTGTAATTAAACTCTGTTGAAAGACTGTCATTTTAGGTTTTCTTTTTATTTTAGAGGTCCCTGGAACTTCATCGGTTTGAGGTGGACTCAAATTTTCAATTACAGTTTGTTGTGAGTTGACATTACTCGGTTGAGCGTTTGTATTAGTTGATAATTCATCACAAGAATTTTCATTTTGGTCATTATCACCTACCGGAGCGCTTATATTCCCCGATGAGACCCGAGACTCTTTCACCATATTGTCGTGAAGCGACAATTAAAAACAAAAGAACCTAACCTAACATCAACGAAACAACAAAAATAGAACAAAAACGAATAATTTATTTAAAATTTAAAAAGATATTTACAGTTTTATATAAAAAAATGAAGTATGATGATGATGATGGATGACGTGAATTACAATTATTTTAAAAAAGATAATGAAGATAGATGAGTACTGAAGCGGAGCCCGAAGACCAAAGTGGCACACCGCGCTTGGCGGTGGTGATCACCGCTCACGGAGTATGAACAGGCCTTGCCTGTGTTAGGTGCGCAGCGCCTGGTCTAGGCACACGCAGCGCCTGGAGTAGGCACACGCAGCGCTTGGAGTAGGCACACGCAGCGCCTGGAGTAGACACACGTAGCGCCTGGAGTAGACACACGCAGCGCCCGGAGTAGGCACACGCAGCGCTTGGAGTAGGCACACGCAGCGCTTGGAGTAGGCACACGCAGCGCCTGGAGTAGAAACACGTAGCGCCTGGAGTAGGCACACGCAGCGCCTGGAGTAGGCACACGCAGCGCCCGGAGTAGGCGCGCACAGCGGCTGAAGATAGCGCAGGCACTAGTAGGTGGAGGCGTGGGCGTGGCTAGGCGACTACTTCAGGTGAAGGCAGAGGCTTGCAGGATCCCGGGGCAGTGCGGCCCCGGGATAAGGCCTTTAGGAGATGCTTCAAGTTTGAAAGCTGAAGCGAGACTGAGTTTATTGGCCGATTGTTCGGCTTTTATACCTTTTTAGAGAGCTCCGCGCTCGACGGGAAATTATTTAAATTAAAAGCAAATTTTTGTAAATGGCCAAGAAGAAAAGAGTATTTTTGTGGAAGTATTGAAGTAAAAATATCAGACCGGTAACGAATTCGAATAAAAATTGCCATGACAACCAGATAAACAACGATGTGAAAACATGTCAAATTTTGGTTTCAGGCTCGTAATAGAGAAACGGCAAGATTTAAGCAAAAAATGAGATATTATTGATATAGGAAAAAAGGTAGCGCACCAGCGCACACGAAGCCCGAAATTGCAGAGTTACGGAGAACTAAATAAAAGATCGAAAAAGGTAGACTCCATCGACACTGATTTAAAAAGTGCTGATAGCGTAAAAATACGAAGTGAAAATGATTTGTTATTCTGTTCTTATGGTTTAAAAACGTTACAGGATCCTATGGAAATAAAGATGATACAAAATATCCAGTTTTGAGGTGAATGCAGAAAATTAAAACAGAATGGAAAAATGAATTTAAAATGGTGTAAAATGATATGTAAGTAGCATAACACTACAACATCCAAGAATCGCAGCAATTCAACGTACGAGTTTTGACGTTTCTTAGGTGCAGCACTTCCACTTCCTGTATTTTCTTGTTTTTTTTCTTTCACGTAATAATCTTTTAAGTGCTTCCATTTCTTTTGAAGTTCATCCATTGTAAAAATAAATAATATGTGTTAATTTTTTTATTGCTGATTCAGCTGCTCAACTGGAGCAAGTTTTGGTGCGATAGATTTATAAAAAAAATGCGAACTCTTTCTTACGAACTGGTTCGTATCTTGAACAGTGCTCTAATGATGGACATTAGGTAGGTACGGTACGGAAGGTAAAGGCCGTAGGTACCAAAACTTGCTTTATTGGAGCCACAGAATCGGACAATTATTACGAAATTTTGTTGTATTTGTAGGTATCACTTTAGTTTAACGTTTTTTTGTTACAGGTATTTGTCTACCGGAATGAATTTTAACAGTTTATCTCACGATTTTTTGATGGGACGATCGATTGTTGCAGAAATAATAAAGAAACTTGTAAAGTAATTTGGAAATTACTGCAACCACTTGAAATGCAAGAGCCAAGTAAGGAATCGTGGTTAAAAGTGGCAGAAAACTTCTATAAATACGCAAATTTTCCAAACTGTTTAGGAGCCGTGGATGTTAAATATATAAGAATAATTAACCCTCACAACAGCGGATCTAACTATTTTAACTATAAAAAGTATTTTTCAATTGTTCTTATGGCAGTCGCAGATTTTAATTATTACTTTATTTCTATCGATGTTGGATCTTTTGGAAAAGAAGCTGATAATAATGTATTTAGAAGTTCAAATTTTGGGCAAAAACTTTACCATGACATGTTAGACCTACCGGAGGATAAAATACTCCCCGGTACTACCGGCCCAGCACTACTGTTTGTACTGGTAGCTGACGAGGCTTTCGCTTTACATAAACATGTTATGCGACCCTACCCCAATAAAACATTAGACATAGAAAAACGTACGTTCAACTACCGCCTATCTCGTGCAAGGCGGTATGTGGAATGTACCTTCGGCATATTGACTAACAAGTGGAGAGTTCTTCATACGACCATACTTACTGATCCTTATTTTGCTACAGATATAGTAAAAACAACATGTGTTCTTCATAACTTTGTACGGAGACGGGACGGTTTGAAATACAACGACGAATTGTTAACTTCTGATCTACCTACATTACCAAACTGTAATACATCTAGACTTTCTTATGCCATAAATATGAGATATTTATTTAAAAAATATTTTATGGAAGAAGGTAAACTAGAGTGGCAAGATAACTTCATTTAGGTAGGGTGACTGATATAGTTATTGTTATTAGTTATATAGTTTCAATTTACGATTTCAATTTTATACGAGTACTTATAATTACTTATACTTGTACCTATGGAAAATTAATAAAGTGATAAACTCACCAAGTTCTCGCTGTTTTGTTTCCATTTCACTATCCCAACTGTCGAAAAATAATTTTGCTATCTCTTCCCATGCTCGTTTCTTTGCCGTTCTATCCGGCTTTTCCCTGGAGTCCCAAAGGCAAACTCTATTTTGCACTTCAATAATAAATCGTTCAGTGGCGAACATCCTGTGCGTGCGCCGTCACCGCGAGTTATCCGCCGAATGTGCCGCGATGTATATAAATACCTGAAACGCGACGTTGCTGATCTTACGCCGACGGAAGACCGGTGCGCGGAGGACGGAACAGACGCGAAAGCAAGCAGTCCACCACGGAGCGACTGATCGTCCGCGACGGAACGACCGATCTTCCGCGTAGTGTGCCCGCTATTTGTAATTTATATTAAATAACATGTATTGACGTTCCGCCGCGGAAGATCTGCGACGGAATTTCGGTCAAGTGTGGCGCTGGCCTTAGGCAGTTTTGTCAAGCGTGCATAAAACACATTGCAAACTGAAAGTATTATTTCCGCTTAGAATTGCTTAAATTATTATTATTGTTATGATGCGATGAACTTCATAAAGCTAGGCTGGCCTACCGGAGTTGAAAACTGCAGACGATGTTTGCCCGGAATAGAAGAATATCATGGTGACTCTATGAGATCACTAGCTTTCGTATGAACGTGTGTGTGTGTGTGTGTGTGCATGAACATGTGTGCGTGCATGCATACGTACTTGCGAACATGCGTGTGAGCGATATATTTTCTGATATTTTTTTTTTTCAATTTGATTCACAAATCATTCAAAATTTACCTTGCTGTAGTACAATAAACTCTGGCGTCTCTTCTATATATTATCACTATAAATTGTTATAAATTCACAGTTAAATAGCAGTTCCGAAACAGTTTTTGCAAATAGTTTCAAGTTTTTGCTGTCTTTTACACAAATAATGTATATTATGTACCATTAGTGTTACATTCAAGCAGTGTTTCTTTAATTAGAGCACTCTAACTCAAGAAGTAAATTTACATAACAAAAGTGAAATGGTATTTTTTTAAATTCTTGCTGCTTTTGTTTTCTGATGTATTTTATAAGGATATACATAATTATAGCTGACATGTTTTTATGAGCGTAAAAATTAGCTCTGTATAATCCATGTTTTTTTTTTAATAAAACTGAAGTGACATCGAACATTCAGTCCATCTGATGATAATTGGCTACTACAACCCGTCGCCATCTGTAACCAACTCTAAACAAAGAAGACTACAGATAGGTATTCACCTCTAAAGTCAAAGATGGAATGCCTCACAGCCTGTGATTATACGGGCTCTCAATATACTCTTAGACCAGAATACAGTAGCGCACGTACGTACAGCACACAGAAAAAGGGTAGTACCTATACAGACGAACAACTAAGCAGAAGGGACTTACCACCTAGATGTTGTGAGAGAGACTATAGGATATGTTAGAAAGATATCATGATTTTGATACATAATGGTATAACAATTCCGCTTACCCTAGACGTAGAATACCCAGATTGGCGACGTGGAGCGGCGTCAAAAGTGCGGGACGTCTGGTACTGCTATATCTGCCAAGCGTGATGATTCTGGCAAAACATACCCATAACGGGTGAAGCCCGTGTCCATCAGTGGACTTCTACGGTCTTACAAGGAAGAAGGAAAAGAAGATAAGCTTCGGAATAAGGATGTAGCCAAAGAACAAGCGTAAGCGGTCAGTAGGTAAATTTGCAGTGAGTTGGTCATGTAGCAGAAATAACTGATAACCAATTAGGAAAAATTGTTCAAAATCAGCAGCCTTGTACTGAAATGCGCAGTGTTTGATGACCCCGCACCATATGGATTGACAACCTGTTGAAACATGCTGAGAAATGATGGATCCAGGTAACTCAGGACTGTGTTTTGTGGTAACATATAGGGATAGCTATGTTCAGCAGGGGAATTGAGATTGAGATTTGAGATTGCAATGATTTAGATGATGATGATAATTTGCATTATGTTCGTTGGGCAATGCGCGGTTTTTCATTCATCGGCACGCCCGAAACGGCCCGGCCGCCGGGTACGCAATCACTTATAAAATATATGAAATATACGGCACGTTTTTCGACTTACCGTCAATGGCACCGGCATGGCGATGATTCCCACCGGTGCCGTTGCCAGTGACAGCAATATTCTCGCTATGTTGTGTACGTATTGTAGCCGTGTGCGTGTGTGCGTGTGCGCGGGCCTAGTAAAGCTAGGGTCCCACGGTCTGCTTTCTCACTGGTCAGACCGCGCCAAGCCAGACCAACAGGCCGAACCATCGCATCCGATAAGGCCTGCGGTGGCCTGTTGGCGCCCGTTCGATCCATCGGAAGTCGGTAAGTTCAAAGGCGTGGCGCGATGGTGCCTGTCGCGGCCTGTACGAGCGCGTCTACGTCGATTGCAATCGTTAATTTCAACTGCGGTGGCGCCTGCGCGTACACGCTACGACGAACGAGCTCATATTCGAGGTTTTAACTCTATGAGGAAATGAACAAGGACTTTGGAATAGTTCGTCGCCTCAACATAAAAACAAGAACAACCTTGATTGGCTTTTGTTGAATGAGGACACCCACCAGCGTCGTTTCTTCTGCTTTCATTTTGCTTGGTTTAACAAATGTTCACCACTGAATAAAACCACAGCGGCTGCACACGCAGCCAATGCACTCAAGATCACTTATCATGTTGGAATGTCAGTCGACAGTCCGCACCAGGCCGGCACACGCCGTGGGAATGCTCAGTACCGGCCGCGATAGGCCCATTCAGGCGGGGCAACACCTGGCGGGGCCTGTCGCCTGACAGGCCGTGGGACCCTACCTTAAGAAGGGACGCGTGGAGATTGAGACTCTAAATTGACTTGTGAAATATTGAAATGACTATTTGCTCATGCGAAAATATAGAATTTTTTGGGGTCTATTTTCAACATTTCAAATAGGGTATAATATGTTACTTCCAAGATTGGATGAATCCAAAATTTGACTACCCCGCGTCGATTTTATTTTCGTCTCGAATGTAAGAGATTATAAAAAATAAATAAGGCGAATTGAAGAGACCATTTGTACGTGTTGTAAAACTGATAGTTCAAGAGCCAGTGAGCGGCAGCCTTACGGTATTTCAATAATCTACACGTTTTTTTTTTTCAGTCAATCCCCTATACCTGAGGTACATGAAATGGGGACTCTTTAGTTTGAACGGCGGTCGATATAGAGACGCTCAGGTGTTAAAGGTGTAAAAATATCCAAAAAAAGTGATATTAATAAAACTGCCGCTTTGACATTTTGAAATATTCAATAAAAGATACCGAAAAATATAACATTGGCAGACACTTATGGCAGTCGCAAGGGCACGGCAGACAGGTTGGCAAGTTTAATTTTTTCTTTATAATTTACGTTATTTTAATAAAGATGCAATTTATATGTTTTTGTTAATATTACTTGACATATATGTTTTGCATGGCAGACATATATTGAGGTTCTATCACCCAGGCAGACAAATAATTTCAGTAGTATCCATAAGCGCGTTTTATTTTGTACGTGGTAGAGCCATGCTGCAGCTATATTTTATAGTACAGTTGTAGCACGAACGGGTCGGCTCGACCGGGAAAGGACCACGCTCTCACATAATACCTGCGTAAAATATCAGCTTAATGCTGCTGTGTTTCGTATGGTGAGTGTAGAAAACCGTAGACCCTTTTTAATGGAAAAGAGGCATTCCATCTTAGTCCTCAAGGCTGACAACACATTTGTATTTTGATTCGCAAACGGAGATAGATGTAAATGTCTATGGGCCACAGCAACCACTTACCATCAGGTAGACTGTGTGCTCGTTTGTCACCCTATTTCTATATATATAAAAAAAACTATAGCACTCACTCTAATTCAGTATTTAGTTTATATTAAAATTTCTATTACATCAATTAAAATACTTGCTTTCAACTGTCCGTCAGTCCGTCCGTCCGTCCACCCGTCCAACCGTCCGTCTGTCCGTCTGCCCGTCTGTCCGTCTGTCCGTCTGTCCGTCCAATACTGGATTAGAGCGAGTGCTATAGTAAACGCTTATGGAATCCACTGAAGTTCATTGTCTGCCTGGGTGATAGAAACTCAATATATGTCTGCCATGCAAAACATATATTTCAAATAATATTATCAACAACATATATAAATTGCATCTTTATTGAAATAAAATAAACTATTAAGAAAAAATTGTACATGTCTACCTGTCTGCCATGACCTTGCGACCGCCTTAGGTATCTGCCAATGTTATTTTTCGTAACCTTTATTGAGTATTTCAAGATGTTAAAGCGGCAGACTTATTACTATCACGTTTTTTGGTCATTTTTTACACATTAAACACCTGAGTGTCTCTATATCGACCGCCGGTCAAACAAAAGTGTCCCATTTCATGTACCTCAGATATAAGGGATTAACTGAAAAAAAAAAGTGAAGCTTATTGAAATACCGTAAGTCTGCCGCTCACTGGCTCTTAAACTATGAAGTCTGTGTTAATACTGCCCAAAATCCGAGCGTAGACCGGCACCGGCACCGGCACCGTACCGGTGCTGGAAAATGAAAAACCGCCCAATTGGATATGTTAGTTTTAAAATCATGCATGGACTAGTCGAATAAGACCCATGACGACTGCTACACTATCTTTTATTTGTTTCAAGCATAAGTCCCAATACTAGTGACGGAAAACAGTGCCAAAGTTAAAAATGTTTCTACTGATAATCCATTGCCTGCCAATAAGTAGAATAAATTATTAATCTATTATATAAAAATTAATGTTTGTTTGTTCGTATTTTATGCGCAGCCATACCGTTCATCAAATTGTGGTAAAGTTGTCAATTTTAAAGTTGTCAATTTATTGCATGCACTTACGCGAAGATTATAGGCATAGTACAATTAACTTACAGTAGATGGCGCGCGTATGATACAGAAAAAAATTTGAATTTTATATATCATTCAACTTCAATGAATGTATTATCATTCCTAATTAAACGATATTTCCATAATTATGTCTTCTGCAGCAGCTAGTATGAAATACAATATTCTATTTATTACTTCTACATAAGAATACAAAATTTCGTTCATTATATATCGTACCCTCAGGGAAAAAAAAGCATAAGATGAAAATTGCAATTTTACAGGAGAG